TTCGAACAGTAGGTATTTACCCCCACTGGAGAGTGGAAGAGCCATTTAGGCAGAGAAAACAAGGGTGCAAAGACATGAATAAAGCTGGAATGCTTGGTATGGCCAAGTCATGAGGTATGCGAGTTGGGGAAAGCTCTAGATAAAGCTGGAGAGGCAAGCAGATGGCAGATCATGGAAAGTCGACCATACCATGCTAAGGGATGCATTTATGCTATACTAAGGCAACTGGGAAGACATTAGAGTTTAGAAAGATGACTAGAAGCAGTGAAGAATACGTATCAATGGGGTTCAAGACTGAAGACAGGAAGACTAGTTAGAAAAATATTTCAATAACTCAAGTAAGAAATAATGAGGACCCTAAGTAAGGTAACAATAATATAATTAGAGGAGGAACCAGGTTTGAAAGGTCGTAAGGAAAGACTATCAACAATATATGAAGACTGACCAGATATGGCTAGAACACTTAGATAAAGAATGTAATAGGAGAAATAGGTGGGAGAGTGAAGATTAAAAAGTTCAATTATGGGGGCTTCCCTGGTGGCGCAGTGGTTGAGAGTCCACCTGCCGATGCAGGGTACAGGGGTTCATGCCCGGTCCGGGAGGATCCCACATGCCTTGGGGTGGCTGGGCCCGTGAGCCATGGCCGCTGGGCCTGCGCATCCGGAGCCTGTGCTCCGCAACGGGAGAGGCCACAACAGTGAGAGGCCTGCGTACCGCAAAAAAAAAAAAAAAAAAAAAAAAAAAAGGAGAAGAAAAAAAAAAACGTTCAATTATGATGAACGTAGATGCAAAAATCCTCAACAAAATATTAGCAAACCAAATTCAACAATACATTAAAAGGATTATATAACATAATCATGTGGAATTTATCCCAGGGGTGCAAGGATGGTTAAACATCCACAAATCAATCAATGTGATACACCACATTTACAAATTGAAAAATAAAAAGCATATGGTCATCTCAATAGATGCAAAAAGGTCTTCTGATAAAATTCAACATCGATTTAGGATAAAAACTCTAAACAAGTGGGCACAGAGAACATAATTCAACATAATGAAGACCACATATGACAAGCCCACGACTAATATCATACTCAACAGTGAAAAGCTGAAAGCATTTCCTCTGAGATCAGGAATAAGACAACGATGCCCACTCTTACCACTTTAATTTATAACATAGTACCACAAGTCCTAGCCACAGCAATCAGACTAAAAAAGAAATAAAAGGAATTCAGATTGGAAAGGAAGAAGAAAAACTGTCACTGTTTACGGATGGCATGATACTGTATATAGAAAATCCTAAAGATGCCACCAAAATACCTATTAGAACTCATCAATGAATTCAGTAAACTTGCAGGATACAAAATTAGTATATAGAAATCTGTTGCATTTCTATACACTAACAACAAACTATCAGAAAGATAAATTAATCTCATTTACATCTGTATCAAAACGAATAAAATACCTAGGAATTCATCTAACTAAGGAGGTAAAAGACCTGTACAGAGAACACTATAATACACTGACAAAAGAAACTGAAGACAAGACAAACAAATGGAAAGATATACTGTGCTCATGGGTTGGAAGAATTAATATTGTTAAAATGGCCATACTACCCCAAGGCAATCTACAGATTCAATGCAATCCCTATCAAAATACCAATGGCATTTTTCACAGAACTAGAACAAATAATTCTCTTTGTGTATGGCAACACAAAAGACCCCAAGTAGCCAAAACAATCATGAGAAAGAAGAACAAAGCTGGAGGTATCACACTCCCTGATTTCAAACAATAATACCAAGCCACAATCTTCAAAAAAATATGGTACTGGTACAAAAACAAAGATCAATGGAACAGAATAGAGAGCCCAGAAATAAACCCACACTTATATGGGAAATTAATCTATGACAAAGGAGGCAAGAATATATAATGAGGAAAAGACAGCCTCTTCGATAAATGGTTTTGCAAAAACTGGACAGCTACATGCAAAAGAATTAAACTGGACTACTTTCTCATACCATATACAAAAATAAACTCCAAAGGGATTGAAGACTTAAATGTAAGTCCTGACACCATAAAACTCTTAGAAGAAAACACTGGTAGTATGGTCTTTAACATCAGTCTTAGCAAACGATAAATCTGATAAGGGGTTAATATCCAAAATATACAAAGAATTCATAGAGCTCAACATCAAAAAACAAACAACCTCGGACTTCCCCAGTGGTGCAGTGGTTACGAATCCTCCTGCCAATGCAGGGGACACAAGTTCAATCCCTGGTCCAGGAAGATCCCACATGCCGCAGAGCAACTAAGCCCATACACCATAACTACTGAGCTGTGCTCTAGAGCCTGTGAGGCACCACTACTGAGCCCACGTGCTGCAACTACTGAAGCCCACGTGCCTAGATCCCGTGCTCCACAACAAGAGAAGCCACCGCTATGAGAAGCTCGCGCACCGTAATGAAGTAGCCCCGCCTCACCGCAACTAGAGAAAGCCCGCGCAGCAACAAAGACACAACGCAGCCCAAGAAAATAATAAATAAATAAATCTTTTAAAAACAAACAAACAAACAACCTGATTAAAAAATGGGCAAAGAACCTGAATAGACTTTTTTCCAGAGAAGACACACAGATGGCCAAAAGGCACAGGAAAAGATACTTAACATCACTAATCATCAGGGAAATGCAAATCAAAACCACAATGAGATATCACCTCACACCTGTCAGAATGGCTACAATCAAAAAGAAAACAAATAACAAATGCTGTCAAGGATGTGGAGAAAAGGGGACCCTAGCTCACTCTTGGTGGGAATGTAAATTGGTGCAGACACTATGGAAAACAATAAGCTTCCTCAAAAAATTAGAAACAGAACTACCATACAATCCAGCAAATCTGGGTACTTATCCAAAGAAAATAAAAACACTAATTTGAAAAGATATATGCATCCCAATGTTCATTTATGCATTATTTACAATAGCCAAGATAATGGAAGCACCTTAAGCACCCATCAATAATAGAAGCATGGATAAAAAAAGATGTGAGATATAGATATATATAGATATATATATACATATATACAATCAAATATTACTCAGCCATAAAAAAAGAATGAAATCTTGCCATTTGGATTAACCTAGATGGTATTACGCTAAGTTAAATAAGTCAGACAGAGAAAGACAAATACTGTATGATTTCACTTACTTTGGAATCTAAAAAACAAAACCAGTGAACAAAAACAGCAAAACAGAGTCACAGATACAGAGAACAAACAGGTGGTTGCCAGAGGGGAGGGGGGATGAGGAATGAGAGAAATAGGTGAGGAAGATCAAGAGGTACAAAATTCCAGTTACAAAATAAATAAGTCACAGGTATGAAATATACAGTGTGGGAGAATACAGTCAACAGGAATGCAGTATCTTTGTATCATGATGGTAACCATACAATCAACATGGTAACTTGACTTATCATGGTGATCATTTTGAAATGTATAGAAATATCGAATCACTATGTTGTGCACCAGGAACTAAAACAATGTTGTAGGTCAATTATACTACAAAAACGAATGAAGAAATCACTGAAAAAGAGATCAGATTTGTGATTACCAGAAGCAGGGGCTAGGCGGAGGAGGAATTGGATAAAGGTAGTCAAAAGGTACCAACTTCCAGTTATAAGATTAGCTAGGGATGCAGTGTACAACATGATAAATATAATAGACACTGCTGCATATATGAAAGTTCTTGAGAGTAAATCCTAAGAGTTCTCACCATAAGGAAAACATTTTTTTTCTTTTATTTTGTATCTATATGAGATGATGGATGTTTACTAAACTTATTGTGATAATCATTTCATGAGATATATAAGTCAAATCATTATGCTGTATACCTTAAACTTACATAGTGCCATATGTCAATTATGTACAGCTCAATAAAACTGGAAGGAAAAAAAATTCAGTTCTGGAATGCTGAATCACAAATGCCTTTAATGCATCCAGAAAAAAATGTCGATTAACCAATTACAGATATATAGACGTATCACATATAATTCTTGGAGCTCAGGAGGAAAACAATGGGCTGCAGAAACACTTGAGAGTAATCAGTGTAAAGGATTAACTCTTAAAGAGAAGCACCGAGAGGAATCCAAGTGTTTAAGAAACAGAAAGGAAAGAGAAGCCTCTTAGAAGGATGAAAGAGGAAGGTGAGAGCAGCAGGATGAAGAGAATGGAGTGGCCCCACAGAAGTCAAGGAAGAGTTTCACCATCAAGGGAGAAGCCTGCATCAAATACTGCCCTGCCTACAGACCAAATGACATTCAGACCAACAAAGAGTCTATTGGCTTTGTCAATGAGAAACTGGTAGCCTCAATTTTCTCACTGTATTTAAGTATTTTGAAAATAGAAAGCCTAAATAAATATTGGTTGGCTAGCTAGCTGATTGAATAACTGGGAGAATAACTGTCATTAAAAATCAAACACTGGGGGCACAAAGAAGGTACTGGACTGGGAGAAGGGAAGCAGGCTGAAAGACTAGAAGGTCTCTGTTTCCGCCCTAATGGCACCACCTTACCCAATCAAACTTTACCTCCCACTTCTAATCCATCATTAGGACTTGCTATTTCAAACTCAAAACATTTCTCTAATTCATCCCTACCTCTCCATTCCTTGTTTAAGTCACCTCCCATTGGCCTCCTAAACTCCAGGTTTGATCCTCTCAAATTCAACCTCCACAAAAGCAATAAATATATTCTAATAAGGACAATACTTTATTATCACTTTGCTTAATACCCTTCAATGACAATCATTAACAGCTAGGTTTCTATAACATTACTCTAAGGAATCCTGGGAATTCCCTAATAAGATGTCTAAGGTACACGACAGAAGAGACTGAGCAGATGGGAATTCAAGTCTATTCGTCCTCCCACTCTTGATTCAACAAACGTATTCAGAGTAAGGTTTCATTTGAAGAAAAGGTTCACCTGCTAAAACATACAAAAAACTGGTCAATATAAGCCCAAATTACTTTTCACAATACATAAGGCCTTATGTTACCTAGGCTCTTTCTACTTCAGTTTCAACTCTCTAGTGAACTTGGCAATATAGAACTACGTACAATTCTCAGAGTTCTCTGTGATTATCCATGCCGTCTTGCCTTTGCTCATGATTTCTTTCTGCCTGGAATGTCTTTGTGCAGCTTCCCAACCCACCCCCTTCCCGTCTTCTACAACTTGGTAACTTCTACTTGTTCTTCAAAGCTCCATTCAAACATTATCTCACCTGGAATGCCTTTCCCAATCTTTCTAGAACAGATTAGGTATCCCTCTTCTGTATTCCCATAATAGCAAGCACACAGAACTCTCCATGTGCCTATGTCATTGTACTGAAATTACCTGGTCGCTACAGAACCAGGGCTCTTATTCATCTTTGTATACTATGTGTTTAGCAGACGTTCAACAAATGCTTATTGAACTAAAGTTTTTTTTGCTAAATTGATAGACATTCTATGCAGCAATCTCTGCTGCTCATGAAAATCCAGAAAACGGAAGATAAAAATTAAGCTTATCTTCACTAAGACTCTATTTCAAGATTAGATCACCTTTATTCAGTTTCTCCATGCTCACAATTGATGCTAGGTGCCAGCTCCATGAGACAAATAGGATCTCGTTAGCAGACAACTCAGTAGTAGGTTCTCTATGTCAGAAATGGGTCATTTCATGTGCCTAATCATGCAAGAGATTGCTTTTTTTTTTCCTTTTTGACACAATTCTGATATTTTTGAAACAGTAAGACTTCAACTTTCACAAAGACATTAAAGGCAAGTTGCTACCTCAGGTTTGCAAAAAGACATCAGTCATATAGTCCACACTCCTTGGGCCACTTGAGAACTGTCTCTACCCAATGATACCATAGTTACTGATATATGTTAATTTGCACCATCTTAAAAAATGGCCCTATGTCTGTATTTATGCCAAAAACAAATAGTGATAGTAAGTATCACTAATAGATAAAATGCTCAGCACAGAATGACCAATTAATAAATGATAATGAATTACTGACCAAAATCCTTTGTTATAATATAATAGATGCAGGTGCTAAACGTTAATATGAAGAATAAATGCAGTCACTGTAACATGCATTACATAAAATACAAGTTGATCCTTGTACAACACAGGGGTTAGGGGCGCTGACCCTTTGCACAATTGAAAATCTGTGTAAAATTTATAGTCTGCCCTCCTTATCAGTGGTTCCCTCTGTATCTGCAGTTCTGCATCCAAGGATTCAACCAACTTCTCATCGTGTGGTACTGTAGCATTTACTATTGAAAATAATCCAGGTGTTAAGTGGACCCGCGCAGTTCAAACTTGTGTTGTTCAAGGGTCAACTGTATTCAATAACCTATCATTATAAAGTTTTCAGATAATTAGAAATTCCTACTTTAAAATAATATAACCAGCCTAAAATTAGATTATTCTTTCATTTGCTACTTTAAAACGATAAATGAAAAAAGCACTCACTTGAAAAGAGCAACCTTATTAATTTAAACAGAGCTAATGCAACAAGTTACCTGGGCATACCTATTTTGCATGTATCTTCTGATGTACCCAGAGAAGGCTACTGGGCAAAGAGAGTAATTTTTATGGCACACTGATGCTTTCAGAAATGAGACACCTTTCTAAGGAAGCCAGGCTGGATATGAACGGAATAGAATGTCAATTCCTTGAGAGTTTTATTGCAGGAAAGAAGTGCCTAAATGAAACACTTAAAGACTATAAAAAGGAAGTCCTTCTAAGTACAAGATGAAAATACAAGCTATGTAATCCAAATATATCTATATCATTTTTACCAATGATTACAAATTCCTGATTACAATTACTTCTGCTTTCCCCCAAAACTAGAAAGCCAAGTTGTACTGAAGAAATGATAGCTAAATTGTGTAAGTTAATTAAATCTTTGCATGTCTATAATTATTTTTCCTTTATAGGATATATTTTAACAATGCCATCAAAACTGTCTTTGCTATAGTAATGTGTGCCTCGTACCTATATGCCTATATACATATATTAGTATTTCTGGCATTAATTTCAGCTAAAGTCTTTGTAAATATAACAAGTTTTAGAGAAAGATAGCTTTTTAAAGGATCATGTGGAAGCATTCATCTCTAATACAAAAGAAGAAGAAAATACTTAGCAACCAACCAGCTTTAACTTATTTTTCTGAATGACATCTTTGTTTTCCTTTTGGTATATCTCCATTTTCTTTTTGGTGTTGTCCAAATCCACATTGTTGGTCAAGTTGAAAACTGCATCAGAAAAGAAACACTGACATGAAATAGTTTTAACATAAATCTTGAGAAAATAATAAAAACCAAATATTCATCACAGTGATTTCTTAATTCATCAGGTTGACAGTCTTTATAGCTTAAGAAACTAGCTCTAGTTCAGCAACTATGTTTTCTGAACCAAATATAAGGAGTGACTGTCAGACTATCACACAGACTATCTAAAGATCTGAATCACCTCAAAAAACCTAAGATACGTGCTTGCCATAATCACATTGGATTTGATTTTTATAGTGCCCATTTTAACTTTAAAAGTATCAAAAAGATTGCCTAAGTTTTTAAATAAAAAGAGTAAGTCTGGGACCTACTATACTGGTCAGAATCGATACTGAAAAGAATCTATGCGCCAGAAACAGAAAAATTATCCAAAGGAATAAAAAAATATTATCAAACTAGAACAGGTTTTATTCTGATCCTCAACATGGCTAGACACAAGCTTGAATCATTTACCACATAGTCTAAATCTGGGAAACTATGAAATACATGAGTCAAAAATTAACAAGGAAGGTAAAGGAAAATCTGGCACCAAAACTTAAGACTGAAATAATTTAGTAAGAGAAGCCACTGAGATATGTTCAGATAGGTGATAAACTTTCAGTGACTTAGAACGATCTTTTCATAATTCCAACTCAAAATAATTTTAATTATAAATGCCTTACTCCCTTCTAAGTTTACATATGTAAATAAAAAGGTTATTATAATACTCTGAACCAAAAAAACTATTTTAGTATATATAAATTCATATTTTAAAGTAATGCCCCACGCCTTTCAGTGTTTGTATCAGCCTGTCTAAAGATGGATCATCATCGTTGTCTCTCCTGTTCCATAATTCAATCCAGACTTCCCTTGGATTCCTCATAATGTTTGTGCAACCATTATTAGCCCTTCTATCCCTTCTCCAGTTACTTACCACTGCTTCCTCCAGCTTGACCTATAAACAGGTTTGATCTACCCTAAATAACTCTGCTTTACTCCATGTTTCTACAGATTCCTTCCCCGTCTCACTCCTTCATTTAACTAATAACCATCTCAAATAGTTCCTAGATTTTTGCATTAGGTCTGTAAGAGCTGAAAAGTAATATTGGAAGCCCAACAGAGGGTTATCTGTTTTGTTGAGTAAGGCCATTAAACATACTCAAAAGACCAATCTGATCCATAATTTAATTTTTATCTCTTCAAAGGACCAACTTATTTCAGAACATCAATTTATCATAATCATTGTTGGAAATCCAGGCTTATTTAAGTATGTAGGAAAAAAAGAAGCAATTCTCAATTCTATTACATGCAATTTTAAAACTCTGGGAGAAGTGAGAGAAAATGAGAAACAACAGCCCTCTAGCTATTGCTCTAGCTTTTTTATCACAAAGTAGAAAAGAAAATAATAATGGTGGTAAACCAGGGAATCTGTCTAGGATGCAACATAGGGTATTCCCTATAAATCACACTTTGGCCCCAACACAAAATAGTCAGAGAAAGAAGTTCCGAACTAGCAAAAGCCCTCGGAAAGACAACTGTGATCCATTCTGATTCCACTCTCCTTGACAACCACTCACAATTTACTCCTTGTATTTAACAGCCATCCACTGAGCCACCAAATCCAAAAATCTTTCACAACCTCTACCACCCTCAACATCTATGCCCACTTAACAATTTTGATCACTTTTTTTTCCTCAGTACGTCCTTCCCATGACTAATTTGTTAATATTTTCTCCTGATCTTCTTCCTACTACTACAACTACCCATTCTTGTTTCCATCTCTGCTTCATCTTGCTCTCTAGGTACACTGCATGATTCTGACTTTTGCCCTCTTTCCTCCCTCTATGTTCCTTGGGTAATCTCATAACTTGCCAGTTTCAAGCAAAGAAATGCCAGGAAAAGCTGATACCATCTCAAAGTACAATTTAGAAAACCCAGCACATAAACATCTCCAAATTTACTCCTTTGTGTAAATTCTTTACCTGTTAATGATATGACTATCATGCTAAGACACCAGGATTTAACATCTCATTCATGTGACCCACTGTCCTTTGCACTCCATAAGCACCAGCTGCAAAATACTACAGATTCTACCACCAAAATCTCTTCAAAACTGCCCTTATTTTCAATGTACCTGCCAGTACTCCAAGCCAGGATCTTATTTCTCCCTGGATAATTTAACCTCTGATTTAACTTCCTGTCTCCAGAATCTTTGCATCTTTCCCACAATGCTGCCAGACTAATATTTCTGAAGCACACCTCAAATCACCTTCCACCTCCACCATCCTATAGTCCTCTCCCATCCCGTCTGCCTTCCCCCTTTTACTAGGAAAAAAAAAAAAAATCAAACACTTTTAGAATTCAGAGCCCTTCCTTATTTGGCTATAACTACTTTTATCTCCCCTCAATAAAGACCTATCTTGAAACTAGACAGGTGTGCATTTCCCAAATGTTCCCCATATTTCCTGGTCCAGTTCCTTTGATCATACCATTGCCCAGAATGCCTGATCCCCCTTTCTTATTTTTGAAAATATACCCAATCTTCAAATGTCTACCCAAATACTATCTTTTCCATGAACTTCTCCCCGGTTCCCCTAAGTAGAAATAACTTCCCTCTCTTATAAATGTGGAAAAATTATTCACAGCTCATATAAAAATCTCTTTCTACTTTACATGATATGTATACACATACACAGCATTCTTTACTTTGCACTTCATCATATTTTCTATAATCTCTGTATCATCACTTCTCCATTCACAATGCCTTGAAAAAAATCCAGTCTTAACTCTTACATTACTTTTCCCTCTCTGCTTTGAGAGTTTTGCAGATTCCTCTGAGCCTCTTCAAGAACCAAGGGAA